ATAAGGTGGAGGTGGCCTTGGCAAAGGAGCCTTGACTTTAGGCACAACCGGCTCTGGAATATATATTATGTATTCCCTAGACGGGTTTACATCATTATGAGTTTCCACCTCGGTACCTTGAATATCAATCCTCACTTCGTCATTCACATTTTCATCAATCACATTTTTGAACCACCAAAGGAACTTCATCTTCTTGCAACTCAACATCATCACTCAAACGTTGCTTTTGTTTGGAGGCATTCACATCATCGCCTCGTCCACTCTTTGTAGTTACCGCCATAACATGATTGTTCCCACCCTTCGGGTTCACTACCGTATCACTTGGTAGAACACCCTTAGGGCGAGTGTTCAAAGACTGTGAGATTTGGCCCAACTGAACCTCTAAATTCCTAATTGAGGTATTGTGAGAAGTCAACTGAGCATCGAAATCCGCACTATTTTTCATCATTTGTTCGAACATCATTTCAATTCTCCCCATATCATTGCTAGAAGAACTGGGAACTTGAGATAGAAAGGGGGTGGATTGTTCGGTTGTTGGTACATTGGGGGCCTTTGAAAACCTTGCCCCTGATTTCCTTGGTTTCCATTATTCCATCCACCTTGATTGTTGTTGCCACCACAATTGTTATTACCATTCCAATTTTCTTGATTTTTTTGATTGTTATTCTGATTTCCCCAGTTGGAGTTTTGGTTGTTGTTCCCCTAATTACCATTGTCTTGTTGTTGTTGATTGCCCCAATTGCCTTGGGGTCTCCATTGTTGCTGGTTGGAAGAATTGCCCCTTTGGCCTTGATAATTATTCACGTATTGCACCTCTTCACTCTGTCCATCAAAACTATCATCTTGAAATCCACCGCAATCATTGTCAAATTGCTCTGAATTCCCTTGGTTTTGTTGACCTCTTTGTATTCTTTTGTTGACAAGCATGTTAACACCCTCCATGGAATTCACTTAGCGAGGATTTTGAACTTGTTACAACTGTGCCTTTGCTAGTTGGTTCATAGTAATTGTCAACTCAGCTATAGCCTTCCCATGATCATGTAACTCCTTGTGCAAATGAGTGATCGTGGGGTCACCCTGGGGCACGTTGGCTCTACTTTGCCACACAGAAAAAGTGTGAGCCATCACGTCAACAATGTCACAAGCCTCATCATAAGATAGTTTCATAAAATTTCCCCCAGCAAGTTGGTTCACTATGCATTGGTTTGTTGTGTTAATGCCCCGGTAAAAGGTTTGTTGGATCATCGCCTCAGTCATATCATTATTGGGGCATTCCTTCACCATTGTTCTATAACGCTCCCAAATCTCATGCAAAGGTACAGTGGGCTCTTGCTTGAAGGCCAATATCTAATCTCTCAATGCAGCTATATGCCCCGGTGAGAATTTTTTTGCAATGAACTTATCCGATAACGCATCCCAAGTAGTGATGGAATGGTTAAGAAGTTGCTCAAGCCAATCAAGTGCTTTCCCTCTAAGTGAAAATGGGAAGAGTCTCAACCGCAATGCATCCTCAGACACATTAGTTTGCTTGCTCCCCAAACATGTATCCACGAACCCCTTGAGATGTTTGTAAGCATTTTGATTTGCAGTGCCTGTAAAATACCCACGCTGCTCCAGCAATGTCAACATCACATTGGTTATTTGAAAATTGCTCGCCCGGATTCGGGGTGGGACAATAGCACTTGCATATCCTTGGTTCGGAAGCACTCTAGGAGCCACTCTTGGAGGTGGGGGGGAGGGTCTGGAATATTATCATTGGCCTGGCGGCCTCTCCTTTGTCCATGAGGCACAACATGAACCTCATCTTCAACATTATCATCTACTTCCTCCCCCGACGGAATATCTCCAAGAGGTGCATTGTTTAAGTTCGCTGCCATTTTGTACCTGAAGTTGTGACACAAACAAATTGGTAACACAGAAGGAAAGAAGAACAATACACAAAACTATTCAGATAGATAGCCAAGACTGTTAGCTCCCTGACAACGACAACAAAAAGTGATCAAGGCCAACCCTGCACTACTATTGAGTAGCGAGAGAGGTCGAAGTAGCTTTTACCCGATTAAGGTTAGGATCGATTTCCACAGGGAGCTAGAAGTTGGAGTCGGGTGTCTATCTAAAGTGGAGTTGTGTATTTGCTCTTAATTGCACTTATAAACATTTTCGGTTTTGATTTACTTCTAATTGTATAGAACAACAATGATCAATTAAACTAAAATAAGCTAAGATTAAACTATTGCGAGTTGTTCAAATAATTAAAAGGCACTAGGGTAGTGACTTTCGCCTAGGTGGTCAATTGACGGATACTTGAGTCTAAGACATGATTGTTTCATTTGGGTGGTATGATATAACCATTGCACAATTCTATTCACTCTACACCTCTCGGTAATTAGAGTGATTTTTCCCGAATTGACTTTCTCAAGACCAATTGGGTATGCAAATTTGCACAAACAATCAAGGTTCAAGTCGGATATTACTATCTCTAGGTTTAACCCTTTAATTGGGGCTAACAATCTCTTGAGTACGCCCCAATTCCTTGTTGGACCAATTTCAGAGACTTGGGCTCTCTTTCTCAAGAAGAGCCAAAGTCAACTAAACACAAACTAGTGTTTGCAACCACTAATTTAGCAATTAAACATGAAATTAGTCCAAATATCAAACACACATAATCAATCAAGCCCTAAAACACAAGACCCATCAATTACCCACACTAGGGTTGAGCCACGACCCTAGCTTATGGGTCTAGCTACTATAATTAGAGAAGAAAACAAAGAAATAGATGAAGAAAAACTCATATTAATTAATTGCTAAATTAAACTTGAAGATTCAATGTCGAAATAAAGCTAAAATTACTCAAAACAGCTAAATATATCGAAGTCATGAGCGCAGCCTTCAGTACAAACTATCTGATGACCTAAAAATGGGAAAAAAGCTATTTATACTAAGCTAAAAAATCTGGACAAAAATACCCCTGCGGGGCTAGTGCGGACCACACAAAATCACGTGCGCCGCACTAAGTCTCTTGACTTGACTCTGAACTTGGGCAATGTAGACCGCACAAAATCGAGTGCAGCTGCAGTGGCTTCTAGTACGGTCCGCATGAAATGGAGCGTGGACTGCATTGGGCTTCAATCCTCAACTGGAAACTCTCTGAACTCTAGCCTCTGCGGACCACACTAAATCGAGTGCGGCCACAGTGACTCCAATGTGGACCGCAGAAAATCAAGTGCGGCCGCATTGCCCTTTTTGCTTGAGTTGCATCCTCTCTGAACTTTACTTGTGCGGACCACACAGAATGGTGTGCGGCCGCACTGGCCCTGTTTGACTGAGCTTTGCCTTGTTTTGGTACATGTGCAAGTTTCACTCCTTTTTGAGTTGGATTTTGACATCTTGTCACCTTGTTGATCAAACCTGCAATCAAGCACAACTTGTGAGTCTTTTGGGACTATTTTGTACACATTTCTAATCAAAACTTAAGCATGAAGGAGTATAAAATGCATCATAATTCCCAGTTATCACGTGCTAATGAGGCACAGGTTGCTCGGTTCATTTGGTCAGGCTAATTGCAGTTGAGTAGAGTGGATAACTCTCGAGAATGGTTCTAATGTGTTCCAGATTTTACATGTAATAATTGGAGATTTTCAAGTTGTAATTTTTTTGGCTAGAAGCTGAGGTTTGCATTAGAGGGTGTCAAGACTTGTGGCACTTCTATATCAACTATGGGATTCTTTTAATCAACATCAAGAAGGTGAAGGCAACGGATTTAGATTCGCAGGAAGTCTCTTCAGAGTAAATATGTTACATCCCGTACCTTAGCATTAGGATGTGCCGTAGTAAATCCACACGAGTTCGAAGGGATTAACAGGAGTATTTTATAGGAAGCAGTTTAAGTAGGTGGGAGTACAACAGTAGCGATCTGGCGAGTCATAAAGACTGGGAATATTGCTAGGCATAAAAGGTATTATAAATAAAAGTTGAGATTGTATAGAGGTGATTAGGCAGTTGTTATTTCTGATTTTTAATAATGGAAGAGAACTAATATCAGAACATAATTTCGTCCAAATATTTTTGTTAGATATTATATTAGTGTGGTATTTTATTTTAAGTGGAATATTTTAGGAAAAGTTTTATAAGTATAATTTTGGATAGTTACCGTTATTACTATTTTCGGATATGGTAAATTATACACATAATATAAGAAAGTTATGAGATTTTCTTTATTGTAAAGATAGAAATTATTTTTCTCATAAGAAAATAAGGTTGTCTTTTACCATTTTAAGAACTAAGCTACTCTTTATATGAGATTAGAAAAATTAGAAATTGAGAAAATAAATTTATTTTTACATGGATATTCTAATGAAACAATAGTGTATGTATTTATTTTATATGGTACCAAAATGACCATGATAGTAAGTTATATATATATGGTGTGTTAAAAGTGAGTAGTATTTTAAGTAATTTGAGATAATTCTTAATTACGTGGATAATTTTTTATATATATATTAAATACTAAAATATGGGGATAAGTATAGACATATCTTGCATTGGTAAGCACTTCCTGTCACAAGTATAGCACTTCCACCGCCAATACATGGCTAGGTGGAAGCCAAACAGTGAATGCATGGTCGTAAGTTTATTCTAGATCAAGGATACATACCAATGCAATTATACGTTGTCTCTTTCATATATTTAAATTCTAGATATTCCCTGGTGATCAACATTGTGTCTATTAATTGTCTTCCTTAAATATAAGCATTCTGCATGACAACAATAAGTTGGCCAATCACCTTTTTTTTATCTTTCTATGAGTGGCTGAAGTCCCTCAATTCTTTCTCTAGCCCTAGCAAGTATTAATGTGATATATGTAGCACAAAATTCTTCATAAAACAAAATACTCAAAAGTGATTAAAGTCATTCATTATTTTCATAAGATTTACATTTCTTCTAAAGGTACGTTAAAAGATAAAGCATTAAACATATAGTATTATCTTTGTAAAATTTGGTTTGCTACTGGGATGCTCTGTTGGAAATGAGTAGGTCGTTGTTGTTACAAGAAGCCACAGAAATATTTATTAAGATGTAAGTGAGTGGACACTCCTAAGCAGGTCCTTGTTTATTACTGTATTATTATCAAGATGGTTGTACTATTTAAAGAAGCATTCAGATTTTCCTGACTGAACTTTCAGATAACCTCAAAATGAGATACCGAGTCCCACTGAAAAAGTTGTGAAGAAGGTGAATTGGGAGAAGAGGTGAAATAGTAAGAGGACATTTAAATTTAAATATCTGGAGAGTATCATTTTCTGGTGGATTGTAAAATTCTACTGAGAACAAGACTTTCTATTATCGATCATGTTTCGTCTGGTACTACAATTCTATTTATGGTGAGAACTCTAGTTTGTTATGAGAAGAAGTCACGAACTACTGAGAAATCGTGTTTCATTCGAGCTCCTTTCTTCTCCATTCTTATTGTCAAGATAGTCACCTCAGGTATGTGAAGGCTAAGCCCTTCCTTCATTTTGGCATGATCTTGTCATTACTCAAGTTTGATAACGAAGCATAATGAAAAATGCATATCCCAAAATTTACGTATATTTTGCTGGTCTCGCAAGTTACAATATTTTCTTTATCGAGACTTCATATTCATTTGAGTATTTCACTCTTCCAGTCAGGAGATCAGAGAGTTTATATATACAGTTTAAAGTATTTTCATTACCATCGAGCTATAATCGATGGGCAGGCCCCTATTAGACAACCTCTGATCAGATGGTAAGTTATATACCGAGCCTACTGTGGCCGAACGCTTATGAGCGAGCCCAGTTGGTCGAGATACAGAGCCTAGTATGGTCGAGCGCTTATGAGCGAGCCTACTACGGCAGAGCAGTTATCTATATATATATCTCTATATATATATATATATATATACCGAGCCTTATAGGGTCGGACAACTATTTTACTTACTATATTGAGAGAGTTGAGTCGGTATCAGCAGGTAAGTATATCTTCAGATTATCTTTGACTTCCAGCTACTTGTAGTTATTATATTATTAGTTCAGTTTCAACTTTCAGTATATTGCCTTACATACTCAGTACATTGACGTCCTTTTGTTGGGGATGCTGCATTCCATGCCCGCAGGTATAGACAAACAGTTTGACGATCCCTCATTGCAGGCGAGATTGGCATTCAACAAAAGATCATAAAGACTCCACCTTATTCAGAGTGTAGCCGAGTCTATGAGTCATCATGTCAGAGTTTTACTACAAACTTATGGGTTAGCTGATACCCTGTCCCATTTTATGTCAAATAATCTTAGAGGCTTTGTAGATATAGAGGTTTATTATGTACAATATGTCAGATGCCTTGATGGCCTGTTATGCCCCGCAATATTACGTCAATATTACGTCCTACAGTATTAAGTTACGATAGTGTTCTACCCAGCAGTATTACATTACGGTAATGTTACGCTTCGCAGTAATAAGTTACGATAGTGTTGCACCCTGTAGTATTGTACGTTGAATTTGTCATAAGGTAATTGAAATCAGTCCAAAGAAAAGATTATTTGGGGATTATAAGGATCATAAGTGATGAGTAAATTCGTGAAGGTAAGATGGTACGTAAAATCGAAGAAAACGAATTTTGTCAAAGTTTGGCATTTTGGGATAAAATACGGGCCGAGCGTTAATACTCAATATTTATGGACTAGTACCATACAAGGTACTACATGGCCATGATAGTAAGGTGTACAAGGTATGTTAAAAGAGAATAGTATTTAATTAAGTTGAGATAATTTTTAAAATTATACGGGTAATTAATTAATTACCGGGTAACAGAATATTACCCGGTTAACTAATAAGCGGACAAAATTTAATTAATTATCACAACCAAAATGTGGCATCTATATGAGAATTAATTAAGAGGACTCTTAGAGTCATTATATTATGTGGCAAGAAATGAGAATGTGCGGTGTAGCTGAGTCTTAAAAAAATGAGTCATTCCATTCATTAAAGAATATGCTCAACTATTTTCCACCACTTTCTTAATACAACAAAATCTCATGTATGCCTACCAATATTTTGGGGGATATATAATAACAGTACCTTATTGTAAAGGTACTAGTAAGAATGATAGATTTCTTTATGTTTCCAAGTGAACTAGCCATTATTACGAGAGTTGATAGTTGTTCAGGAATGGCTTCGTAAAATTTACCAAGTCTCAGTTCTTGTCATGATTGGTTTTGTTTAACAAGATTTGAGGAGAATAAGTTGACCAAGTAACTAGTTTTCAGCAAAAGAATTCGTACAAAAGTTATACTACGTAATAACAACGGAATTTGCAATTTAAAGAGAGTCCGATACAATCTTTCTCAAGAGAATCGACTCAGGTATGTTAAGACTATCCCTTCTTTCTTTTGGCATGATCCATACGATATGAACGAAATGTGCAAATGCACAAACTCCATAAGTGACACTACTCATAAAAGTAATAGAAATATCTATGTTCTTTAATTCCCATGTGTCATAATATTTTATCATCTGTTCATGGGTCTCAGAAAAATACAAAAGTTGAAAAGATGTTACTTTATGATATTGCTCAAGAGGCAAAGTGGTCTTATGGCCTTCTGAATGATTTTATTGATGTACGTTTCATGCATTGCATCATGTGCATTGACCAATAACCAGATGGCGTTATATACGCGTATATATGTAAATATATGTATATGAGATATGGGAAAAGGTTACGACGTTATATACGCACCACCACCTGATCAGCTGGTATATGATGATGATGTTGCCCATAGTGGCCGAATTATGATTCAAACGGCGTTATATACACATATATATGTAAATATGATTCAAACGGCATTATATACGCGTATATATGTATGTATATATGTATATGGGATATGGGAAAGGTTATGGCGTTATATACGCACCACCACCTGATCAGCTGGTATACGATGATGATTTTGCCCACAATGGCCGATATAATATGATGGGATGCCCTCAGGGGCTGATGATGTTATGAGACATATACCTATGCACGACATGACATTCATACGTATATGCATGACACTAAAAGTATTTCATGATTTACAGAGCTATTCAGACTTACAGGTTGGGTCAAGTACTCTATATTTCTTCCATGTCTGTTATGTATTTATTTATGTGCCTTGCATACTCGGTACATTTTTCGTACTGACGTCCCTTTTGCATGGGGACGTTGCGTTTCATGCCCGCAGGTCCCGATAGACAGGTCGAGAGCCCTCCAAGTAGGCTATCAGCTCAGCGAAAGATGTTGGTGCGCTCCATTTGCTTCGGAGTTGCTTGTTTGGTTAGTATGATCTAGACGTTTATTGTTTGGTATGGCGGGACTCTATCACGACCTTTATGACATTTATGCACGCTTAGAGGCTTGTAGACATATGTCGTATATGTGAAAGATTATACGGCCCTATCAGCCTATGTTTGAGTTTATAAATGATTATCTTGGCCTACTAGGCCCGTATGTCACGTTTATATGATAATGTAATAAGAAATATACATTACGTTGGTGCTCAATTTGGTAAGGTAGCGGGTGCCCGTCGCGGCCCATCTATTTGGGTCATGACAAGGTACCGGGTGTCGGTCTCGCTTTCAGGTTCGGGGCGTGACAAAAGTAGTATCAGAGCAGTTCTGTCCTAGGGAGTCTACAAGTCGTGTCTAGTAGAGTCTTGTTTATGGGTGTGTCGTGCACCACACTTATAAGCAGGAGGCTACAGGGCATTTAGGACTGCCACTCTTTCTTCTTACTCTAGATCGTGTGGTAGAGCTCACTTATAAAAATTCAAGTCCGAACTTCTATTCGTAATAAGACGGTACCCATATGCAGAAAGAAGGTTGGAAAGAGAGATTGTTGTGGAAGTGTTGAATTAGAGGAACTTGACTTTGTATCATGCTTAGGATAAGTAAATATGAGGTCTTTAGCAGATCATGGGTGTACTAAAAAGTGTAAGCTTCCTGATAAGAAGCTTTAAGGCAAGAATGTCTATCCACCTTTTTGGTAAAAGACAATGAGAGATTAAAAATATAAATACAAGTTTCAACAAGCAAAAGAAGCAAGATGAAGAAGGGTACGAGGCGCCCATTTAATAAAGGTTAACATCGTTTATAATTGAGGCAAAGGAACATAAGCTTTTTGAGTTATATTCAATAGTAATAGAAGTACATACAATTGGTCGCACCCCTTCTAGATATGCCCTATGGGGATTAACAAAAGTAGTATAAGAAGATATGATGGACGGAATATTTACGTCAGTTGACATTTCCGAAGGATATTGCAAATATGCTAATAGATCTCCTTATGAGACACCAGATGGTGCACTCTGAAATAGTGCAGCCAGTTATGAGTACTACAAAGACATGCACTATAATCCTTGAAGGGATAAATATTACCTTAGTATGGCTCGTGTCCCTAGTAAAGCAATAATGTTAAGCAACTTGAAGAGCCGATGAATAAAGAAAGGAGAATAAAAGTGAAAGAATGTCGTGTTGAAGTCTTCATAATAAAAGGGATATGCAGAAATATTAGCGGGAGATGAGAAGAAAAGTAATAGCTTACGTTGAAAGCTAAGATGGAACGAAAGAATTATTTGATCAATAATCCAGAGTTAGTACATTATGGATACACTCAAGATTTTGGAGCATTATTTAGGCAGCATATTTGTGACAATCATACAACCATAGAAGACTCCGATATAAGTTAAAAGAAAGAATTGAGCCTAGGGCATAGACAAAGGATTGAATTGTTAGAAGATTGTATCATGGATATTCCATAATGCCCATGAAAGGCTAAGGTAATAACTGATACCATGAACCACGGATTGGAAGATAGCTTAAGCCTACGTAAAGGAAGAGAAATAACACAACAACCATAATCTATAATGGCTTTACCAGGAAGCCATTTAGAAGAAGTACCAACCTCATAAGAAGTCAATACGAAGCTCCCACTGGATTGTGTATGTACTAGAGGTGCAAGTATTATAATAGAACTTCAGGTTGTGGAGATAAATTATGCCTATATGGAAGGGAGGTTATGAAAAAGATAGAGAAATGTGAGGCAATATTTTAAGGTAAGCAAGGGAAAAGGTGAACAACATACAAGATATATACATAAGGTTATAAATAGTCCATATTGCAGAAAAGGGGCAAGAAACATAGGGATTCAGTATCCAGGAATAATAGCAGCATCGTCATTAGCATATCTTCCAGCCTATGGTCTAGGTATCGAAAAGCCTGACTAAGAGAGTAAAGAAGAGTTAGAGATGATGTGATATCTCGTTTGACATTCCAAAATGACATAAGGAAAAATCTATGATGCAAGCAAGTTGAAAGGTTGCAAGTAATATAAATAGAGTTGTGTAGGTCGCAAGCCATTGCATGGTGAAGCGACAAGGTTCTAGAAGACAAGAGTAAGGATAAGAACGGGTGAGTGAGAAGGTAACGAAAATGGATAAATCCTTAAAATTAAGCCCATGAAAATAAGAAGAGTAGATGGTTTCTCTAAATTATACAAAGCTCACTATAGCCTGAATGAACTCGAAGGAGTCAAGACTAATAGCATTTAGAATGCCACCCTGGTAATAGAATGAGGGTGTAATTGTGATAGATAAAAGATGATGTTTGGTCCTTCGATTGAGTAATGTTTCAACAAACAAAAGAATCAGATCTTCTGAATTGGACAGGATTAAAGAACCCACGCAAGGTGAATCACATTGAGACACTATTAAATACGATTATGGGAATCACTTTGAATATTCTTTGAGGTAATGTAAGCCCTAGGGGCAAAGTATTATGTAAGAAATTTTAAGTTATCAGTGGTACATTATAAATCAATATTGAGGTGAATCAACAATGGATGGACAAAAGTCACAAAGTATGAGATGAGATTAGGCCGTCATTCTAAAGATGAGCTGTAATGAGGAAATATTAAAGGACTTAAATTTATACATATGGAATAAGCAAAGAGAGTAAGTTGGGATTTGGTAGCAGACCTCAGCAACAATAAATTAAAGTAAGAGTTATGGTAGTAAATTCATACGGATGGCTAAATAGACCTATGCGATGAGATACAACAATATTCGTAAATCGAAGAAAGTATCGAGCAAAGGACTTCAATATACCTATAGAGGCCTAGAGAGGCATCCTATTAATCTTTGTATATACAAAGTAAGGCCTACAGATTGACTAAAAGGTAAAAGGAAAAAAAGGAAAAAGGAAAGATGAATCGCATAAGTGCACCTACAAATCCAAGGTCACACAGGTCGCCTAACAAGAGGTAACAGAAGTC